CCCTCTACTAGTAGGAGTGATATTGACATCAAAATCAAATTTCTCATGTCAAAAAACTCCCAGATACCAATTTTCATCCAAATATTGACATTACTTCAGAAATTATTTGGAAAAAATCGAAATAAAAATGAAACTTCTACACCCTGTATCTCCGAAACCAAGGATTTTAGAACATACATTTATACGAACTTCTTTATTTATTTTTATCTGCAGAATATACTGCCGAAGTTTCCGGAATACAGTTCGGACCACCCTGTATATTTGTAATTAATTTATTTTTGTTATCTAAAATATTTTGATTAAAAGAAAATATATAAAAGTGGACAACGCTGTGCCGGTCAAGCTTATCACGTGACTAAAAGTTTATGTATGGTATGAACTGTATATCTAGATATTTGTAGGTTTTTTAAATGAATTTATTTCAAACGCTGGAGAGAGGGGGCGCTACTATCAATTTTTTGCCCCGGTTCAAAAAAATTGTAGATCCGGGGCTGGCTTAACACGACAGGATTAGGCTAAGCCTTAGGCAGATTTCTGAAATATAATATATATTTTCTTCGGCCACACACCCGCTTTACCCGACCTGAAAGAGCGACCCGAAAGTACATAGACTCTTAAGCGGCCCTCACACGATCAATAATATTGTCAATATTTTGGATTATTGACAATATTATTGAGCGTTTGAGCGTACATATTGATGGATTTTCGGGATCCTGAAAATACTCGACAATATTAAAGGCGGAGCTAGTCGTATTGACAATATATTGATCGTTAGGTCGCATGATTGACAAAATTTGACTAGTTTATTGGTAACCATGGCGGAAGACGGAACATCGCCGTCGTTGTTTTTACTAGTTTTAGATCGCAATCATCAGGCTCCCGTTTCTTAACGTACTCTAGAAGATTTAGTTGGCCGAACCTTTTTCTTTTTGGATGTCCATTTTTTTGTATAACGCCTTTTCTTAAATTTTTTCTTCGATTTTTTTACACTGACTGACACTAACTGCCAAAATGACACGCTTTTTTTATCTTTCATTTTTTCGCATAGGGTACCAAACCAAACTGAATTTTATTATCGCCATGTTGGTGACATTGCGCCGTGTTCAGCGACGTTGTCGTTTATTATTTAGCAATTATCATAATGTCAGTCCTTATTTTGTATAATATCGTGTTGTTGAATCTTTGTAAGTAATTCTCATTTTTTTGCCTGTTTTCATAATCTTTTTTTAAATTGTCTTTTAAGCACAAACAGTTCTTTTAAGAACTAAATTTTCGGGTTTTTGTATTGCATTCCTTAAAATTGTGTGTTGAAAATATGCCGAAGCATTTAAACAGTCGAAGCAAAGAGCTGGTAAACAATTTGAACGAGTACGTGACAATAAAGGTCCTTTATTATCCTTGACAGTAGTCAGAGAAATAAGTTTGATTGGTGAGCACATTATACCATTTTCAAAGATATTTATTTCTACGTTAGTTATTAGTAAATTCTGTGATTATTAGTTTGTGCATTAATGGCACCCTCTTACTTGTTATTACCACTTGTGATGTTGTAAGATGTACATCAATAAATAACCCATAATAACACTAAGAATAATATTCATAATGTTCACAAATAATCAAATAAAACGTAAAAATCCTTAAGAAATTATATAAGTATATTGTTACCCTATTTTACATTAAGATTCATGTCATAAATCCATCACAATCTGGCAGCGCTGTCGCAATCGCTTGTCACTCAAAGTTTTATCACGTGCATCGGAAATTGTTTTGCTATTACCGTATGTATATAATTCAATGCTTGTTGAGAGAAATCATTATCATTATACCGTATTATCGTTGATTGAAGAAATAAGAAGATGCGCAACCTTATGGGCGATTTCATGGCACAAAGCCTGTCCGAGATGTAGGTGGCCTGTCCGAGAATTCCGAGATTTAGTTTAGCTCTGCGCCGCTGCGCGCTGATAGTCGTTTACAGCGCAGCGGATAAAGAATACTATACCGTAGCAGACGCCTGCTTTCAGTCGACAGAGTAAGTGGTTGCCGGAGACAGTGTTACCAGAGCTACTGACTAATCCGTAAGATTTTCTATTATTAAACAATTTAATATAATATTGTATGATTAAACAAAAAACTGCGTCAGAGTTGGCTTGGAAATGAAGATCGCTGTAATTTCATATGTAAAATATTATGATAAATGTCAATAATCGTCATCTCCAAGCCAATTAAACGACTTTTTTCGATCATACGACATATTCAGTACCTATAAAAGAATTTTTATGTTTCTTATTTATTCTATGTTTAACACGAATAAATTTTCAATACATAAACGCGGTTTTTTTCCAAAGATATTTTCGTCAAACATATTACATATATTACACATTTTAATATGGCAACCCTGTCGCTTTCAGATCAACACCGTCTTCAGTATGCCTTCGCTGGCCGAATCAGAGAAAATAAAAAATAAGTGTTTTATGGCTCGACTACAGAACGACTGGTGTCCCCACCGTACAGCATTTGAGAAATATCATTGTATTAAGGGGAAATGAAGTCGGCCTTGTCGCGAATTCGTCTATTAAGTTGCGTATCTTCCCAATTCTTTCAATCAACGGTATTATCGAAAAAAAACGACGTCAAATACGACTGGGGAATGATAATCGATGATAATTTTGGCGAGGTCAATCTCTAAACAACGTTTACTAAACATTTGCATAAAACTTGTCAAAAAATAACACTAATTATAGAAAGATTAAAAAAGGACAGAACGTTTCCAGGCACACAAATCTATTTCCAAAAAAAACAAGATTTCTCGAATTTTAAACTACACAATTTAGAAATAATTTTTATCCAATATAAAAATATATTACAACTTTTTTAAGGCCAACTGTCAGTATTAAAAACAACGTTACTGTAGTATTAAAAAATAAAGAAGAGTACGGGCCAAGTAACGACTTAACGCCTTCTTTAACGCCGTTTTTTTTCGATCGTATGGTATGTTTAGTTTGGTTTGGTTGTATTTTGTCTAGCTACAAAATCAAAGATTAGCAAAAATATCCCATAAGGTGCGCTTCTAAAATGCATTCGAATATTAAAATTATATTTCTAGTTATGTGTGGCGCCTCTCATACGACGCGGAGTCTATTGGGAGAAGAACAGTTCGTATTGAAATGAAATTTTGTAAGCATATGTATAATTCAGAGCACTTTTTAAAATTATAGAGAGTTCTACAGGGTGTCCCCCAAAAAAAGTTACATATCAAAGTTTTGTTTCTTGTAATGAAACACCCTATATATTAATTGATTTTCAGATTCTGGGATAAAAATAAAAATGGATTTTATTAGAGAAGTATATGACTAAGATGTAAGGTTTTTGACATGTTTAACATTTTTTAAAAATATAGAATAATTTTCAAATTACAATAAAAGTTACCTAAATTGGAATTTACCCAGTATATTAATATTGAACATTGGTCACCTCTAAAAGCAAGTTACTCTTTTATTTTAAATGGAACACCCAGTATATTATTTTAATATTCAATGGGGAATTTATGTCTCTTCAAAACACTATTAAGGTTGCCTACCCCCCAAATAAAGATTTTCCTAGATATTTTCATTTACATGATCTGATCTGAGTAGATCTTTATTATTTGATAAAATCTAGGTGGCTGTGATATGTCTGACGTTACTTCAACAAAGCTGTCTAATTAGTCCAACTTTAACAACGAGTTATCATTTTGTGTCAGTCAAAACACATAAAAAATTCTCAGATATTTGCCGAAAATGTAAACTTATCCTACATCGAAGAGAATTGATATGATTCTATTAGTTGGTGATGCAGTGTGCATTCACCAATTAATAGAATACTTAAATGCTCCTGATTATATATAGTCTAGTTTTTTATGGGGATACATATGTTAAAGACAGTGTTTACAAAACTTGACCGACTATTGTCGACAACATGACAGAAATAATAATTGTAGCTGCTTTTTGGAGTAAAACTTCACATATACCTTTTAAAATGAAAAGATCTTTTGAAAACAGAATTATTTTATGCTGTTAACAGAAAGGAAACATTTTGAGCATTTGATTTTATCTAGCTAATTTTTGTCACATAATTATAGGTTTATATCTAGTTTTAATTCTGTAATAATTAAAATATGTTTTAAACGTATATCTTTTTATTACCGATTACCGTTGAGTATTTTATTCTACATCCTTTAATTTTTGTTAAATTAACAAAAGATATATCACAGCCACCCTAGATTTTTTCAAATAATGAAGATGTAGTGACACAGAATCATAAAAAATAAAATATCTAGGAGAATCATTATCTAAGAGGTGGGCAACCTCAATAATATTTTGAAGAAATATGAATTCCCCATTGAACACGGGAATAATGTACTGAGTGTTCCATTTAAAATAAAGGAGTTACTTGCTTTTAAATGTGACCAATGTTCCATATTAATTTTGTATCACCCTGTATAATTTTATGGATCAAATTTTAATTTGGTTTAACATACAATGGTTATTGTAATTAAGTATCAAGCTATACAGGGTAGTTTAAGATTTAGGTAGCTGTTATTGGATATCTTTCGGGACCGATTTAAACCGGTTTTCCGATACCGGGACCAAAATCGGTCTTCCGGTGTCAGTACCGAAACCGGTATACCGGTCTTGTAAAAGACGATACTGATACCGGTATATTTCAAAAGTACCGGTGCTGGTACTGGTATACCGGAAAACCAAACATGCCTAGTTATATTGAAAGTTTGTTAGATAATTTTACCACCCTCTAACAAGTTATGATGTTTATAACATACTATTCATATGAAGTTAATTTTTTTTAGAATGAATCACCTCTTTAAATATTCGCATTCGCATGCCATTAAGGAACACCCTGTATATAATTATAAAGTTATCATCTGTTACGGAAACTCAAATATTTCAGCTGTACACAGAAGATAGATAATTCATTATCAATTTACAGTCTGTTATAACATCCTTACAAAATAAAATCATTAAAAGTCTGATTCATAAAACAGAGTATAATAATAATGTTTCTTTCCCACAGAGAAAATGATTTTGTTTAGAAAATCCATTAATAATTAAATTTGGTGCTGGAAATTGTGTCACCGTTTCATTTATCGTATAAATTATATACCAAGGATTAAATAACATACTGGTAAGAACTATTATTAATATTAGAATTAAAGAAACATTGTTAAAGACAAAAATAGTATATTGTTTTATTAGGGTTAAAAATGATTTGAGTTTTTGTGGTGAGGCTGGTTTAACCCTTGTATATGAATTTTTAAAGTAGCTCAACCTAAGACGTTTATGGATGTAAAGCACCAGATGGCAGGGCGTATTTCACAGTCTTTTACTAGAGAAAAATATTTTTTGTTACTTTGAATTTTGAATCGGCCAATAAAAACAGAGAAAATAAAAATCGATAATTTTCGGACTGTGCCAATTGGTTACTAATCGACCAGATACTTTTTGTCTATTAGATATGCTATAAAAGCTGGTAATTATACAATTCGACCATTGTAAATACCCGACAAATTCCGCAAGGCCAACGAGGTCGATGTTTTTCACTGATAAGAAAAAAAAATGTTTGTTTAGATAATTTTCGAGATATTTTTTCTTTCTGAATGCACATTTTAAAGTATTTTATATTCTTTGTCCGCTTGATCTATTATACTGGTCGCACGTATCGAAGTTTTATTTCTTGTAGTTTTAAAATATTTTCTTGTTTCTTTGTAGTTGTAATGTAAAATTAGATTAATTTATTAAGTTTGATTATAATGTTTAGTGTAGACTACCAGAAGAAATTTAGTAGTGTTTTTATATTTTATTTTGAAGTTAAGTAGTAGGTGAAGGGGTAATTTGGTTAATTTTTCTTTATGTTTGATTAATTAATAAGTTTGATAATTTGTTTAGTGTAGAATACAAGAAGTAGTTTGTGTAGTGTTCTTGTAAGAGATTATATTCATTTATTTTGTAGTTGAGTAGAAGGTGAAGGTATTTGGGTATTTTTTTCTTTTTGTTTTTCTTCTAATAATTATTGTAGTAGTTCTTTTAAATATTGTGATAGATACATTATAATCTTCCTTCTACTTTTCTGGTAGTTGAATATACGAAAAAAATCTGATCAAATTTATTTTAAATGAAATTAATCTAGTCTTATTAATTAATCAAATTAAACTAGTCAAATAATATTAATTGCAATCAATTATTAAAAAATATTAATTATTTTGGAAAATAACTTTTGAAATGGAGTATTATTGATAAAATTTAGCCAATTTTTTTTACCCAGTAGCGTATTTCAATATGATCTTATCATTTATCACTGTATAATAACTTTGTTGTGGCAGAAAAATATACCAGTTAGTTTCAAAATATTATTTTTTTTTCAAACGTCACAAAAGTATTAATTTTTGCGACGTGATTGACAATATAAAAAAGTCATTTTAACGCCTAGGCATAAAAGTAAAGCACTTTACGCCTAAGCATAAAAGTATGAAAATATATTATTAAAATGACATAAGTCTCAAATTCAACGAGCCGTAACCATAGTTTCTCGATATATAATTACTCATGGTACAAAGAAAACTTGAAAACAAGGTATGGTCGATAGCGTCTCCAATTTCGTTCAGTTTGCGCATATCGCCTGTGACGTCATATGCCATACAACAAAATATCCGTATTGTTCAATTGCCACTAATAAAAAAAGACCTAAAATAGGGAAGAATTAAATAACCCCTAAAGTTATGTAAAATCATCGAGCTGGACATTTGAAAAGTTATGACACATTATACACATTTATTATGTGTCATCTGTTTGAAAATTTGAAATTGGCGCGTGGAGCTTGCCGACCAATATTGCCGTTTATCACCTGTGACGTGGTGATCAACCTGCGCAATATCATACCTTGTTTTTTTTTTGTATCATGATAATTACTCACAAGGTATGAGTTTTAAATATTTTTATATTATTTGGAACGTTTGAAATTGTTTAAAACATTATTTGTGGCTTTTGAAAAAAATAGCATGTTCTATTCGGAGTAAAAATGACTTTTGTGCTTCGGCTGTATGTCAAACCTACAGTCTCGTCACGAAAAGTGTCATTTTTTACTCCTAATAAAACAATATACTAGAAAGTTTTATGGTTTAACGGGCTTTGTGAGTTAAAACATAATGATATTTTCAGTTTTTTTTGATCGAAAATAAACGGCGTCAGCGATGGCTATGAAATGAAGATCGCTGTCATTTTATATGTAAATTTATGTGGGAAATGTCGTCGATCCTCATTTCCCTGCCAACTGGACGCCGTTTTTTTTTTTCATATGGTACAAAGTTAAAGCAAACTTGACTCTGACCATGTTTTACGCTAAGAAAGATTTATTTCGTGTAATAAAGATTTAAATGGTGTATTAAGTACATAATATTTATTTAAATGTCAAATAATATTATTGAAACAAGTGCCAAGTTTTATTTTTAATTAAGAAAAAAATTAATCAAGAATGTATAAACGTTTTGTTTTCAAAAAATTTATCTTAAATTCGTAAAACCTCAATTTAGAATAAAATGATCGAAGAATGAAATAAAATTTTATAGTCCTGGGTTAAATCGAAATAAAGTAAGTGTATGTAACTTTTTTTAAATATTAATAATTACCAGTAATTAGCATTAATGTACCAACATATTGAAAATTGTTATGCCTTTGTTAAATACGGTTTAGAATCCTTAAAATAACAGCAAAAATAATCGAAAATCAACAATGAAATAATAGTTTTTTTTAATTTCTTAATCAGCTGAGCCCTATTATAGTTCGCAAAAATCCGAGCTATATTATTACATTACTCTGAGGGAAATACCGCAAATAATCGATATTTTTGACTCCGCCCCTAATCACATGCTTCATTCTTTTAAAGCTTTACGATTTGTTCACCAGAGGCAGCACATTTTGTCGAGAGGTTGACCAACTTTAAGAATATATAAACAAGGGTTTAACATTACAGACGAGGTACAAAAAGTCAATTTTACGATTAGAACATGCTATTTTTTTTCAAACGCCATATACCGGGTGTTCCATCGTCGAGCGGGACATAGGAAATCCCATGTAAATTTTAATGGGGTCAATTATTGACTTCCCTAATTATTTTAGTGAATAATTCTATTTAGGTTTATTGAAGAGCACTAAACCCCACATTCAAAAGAATAACTTTAGATATTTTTGATTAGCCCGTTTACGAGTTATCGCCGATTTCTTTTTTACTTATGAGCACCAGTCAAGATAAAAGATAACTGTCAAATGAAGTTGTCATTTCAGAAATTTATCTATTTAGTGCTTTATTATTATTATTAAAAACTCATACCTACATAGGAAATATAAATTTATAAATCTAATTTTTTCTTTGACTTTTTGTATATTTATTTGGGATTTATTCTTGGTTTTAGGCCAGTAATTTAAAACATAATAATTAAAAATTGTTTTTATTTTTTACGTACGTTTTGACCATTCTTAGGTCTTCTTCAGAAAATTATAATTATTATCAAATACATATACACATAACAATATAAAATCATTATAAAATTTAATTAAGTATTACACATAACATATTAAAAAACAAACAACCACATTACTAGTACATGTCAGACTCTAAAAAATGAAAAGTCAGACTCTAAAAATTTTTTTTTAGAGTCTGACATGTACTAGTAATGTGGTTGTTTGTTTTTTAATATGTTATGTGTAATACTTAATTAAATTTTATAATGATTTTATATTGTTATGTGTATATGTATTTGATAATAATTATAATTTTCTGAAGAAGACCTAAGAATGGTCGAAACGTACAGCTGGTTCCAAAAAAAATGAATACGACTCTATACACATTCTTTTCGAATATTTGAGCAGTGTATATTTATGTGTCAAGTATTTTGACATGTTAAGGTTATTGTGACATTGTATAAAACAACTTTGCTTTTGACAAAGTGGCAAATATATTTTTCAGAACGTCAGCATGACATGAGTAGAGAAATGGGGGACAGGTATCATAGAATATACTGCCCGAAATAATAAAAATATGTTTTAAATCGTACTCAATTTTATTGGAACCAGCTGTACGTAAAAAATAAAAACAACTTTTAATTATTATGTTTTAAATTACTCGCCTAAAACCAAGAATAAATCCCAAACATAGAAAATATTAGTCATGAATTACACTACCGAAGAAAAAGTATTGATGATTAAATGGTATTAGCAAGGAAATAGTTATCAAAAGGTGTCGGACATGTTTGCTGCTCTGCATCCGAATAGACCGATACCTGGAAAATCTACAATCGCAAGGAATATCCAGAGATTTGAGACCAAAGGTACCCTAATAAATAACTGCAGATGTGAAGCAAGGTAGGAACAAAGAGAAGATGCAAGAAATGATACCGACTTGGAAGTTTAATTGTGCGTGCAAGAGAACGATGGAAAGATCAGCACAATTTAACTTGAGGATAAAATAGGAATAGATCACACTACAACGTTTCGAATTTTGAAACGACATAAATATTATTCCTTCAATTATGAAAAGCACCAAGAGCTACGAGATGGGGACGAAATACGGCGGCAGGCGTTTTGTTTTGATATGATGGAAAGAGCAAACACGGATAGGGAATTTTTAAAAAACATATGTTTCACTGACGAATGCACGTTTACCTTAAATAATGAACCCAATGTTCAAAATTATCGATATTGGAACAAAGAAAACCAACACAGGTTTGTCGAAACAAGGACGCAATATCCATAGAAAGTAAATATGTGGGCAGGGATATTCGGACACAATATTATCGGGCCATTATTTCGTACCCGAAATTTAAATGCAGATTATTATTTGGAACTACTCGAAAATCATATTTTACCTGCTTTACATGATGCCGCTAGGGAAAATCAGGAAGTTTGGTACCAAATGGATGGCTGCCCGGCACATATTACCCTGGCTGTTCGGGAATATTTAGACAATAGTTTTAACGGAAACCTTATTGGCCTAAATCATACAGTAAATTGGCCAGCAAAGTCTCCTGATATTTCGCCAAATGATTTCTTTCTCTGGGGCCATTTAAAAAACAGGATATTCAAGGATAAAAAATACCCAAATCTAGACGAGTTAAAAAATGCTATTTCTGCCGAATGCAATAGAATTTCAGTTTACCAACTAGCGAATGTAAGAAGAGAATTTTATGATCGCCTGGGTTATTGTCTAGCAGTCGATGGAGGAATATTTGAACATCTTCTTAAATCCTAAAGTTCTAACAATTTAATAGTACCTAAATTAATAAGTTATTGAATATTGTAATAATCTGTAATAATACTATAATTAACCTTGTAATTGATTACCTACTTTATTTTACTTTAATTCATATTAATTTGTATTTATAAATACATCTTTAAGATTTCCGATGTAGGAATGAGTTTTCAATAATAATAAAGCACTAAATAGGTAAATTTCTGAAATGACAACTTCATTTGACAATTATCTTTTACCTTGACTGGTGCTCATAAGTAAATACCTGGCCATAAGAATGGAGAAATATTTAAAAAGAAATCGGCGATAACTCGTAAACGAGCTAATCAAAAATATCTACAGTTATTCTTTTGAATGTGGGTTTTAGTGCTCTTCAATAAACCTAAATAGAATTATTCTCAAAATAATTAGGGAAGCCATAATTGACCCCATTAAAATTTACATGGGATTTCCTATGTCCCGTCCGACGATGCAACACCCAGTATAATTTTTAAGCAATTTTACTAACAGTTTGCACACTAGTTTTGTTACTAACAGTAACGACAACTAACAAATAATAAAAAAAATATTTAAAAGTATTTATTATTAATTTATTTTGTCAGAAACGATTCCGCAATGTCATCATGATCATCATTTAGCTTATTCCGTTCACTGCTAAACAAAAGCCTCCCTCAACTCTAACCATTCCTTTCTATTTTGTGCCACTTGAATCCAGTTTCCAGCCACTCTCTTAATATCATCTGTCCATCGACTAGGAGGTCGTCCTCTGCTTCTATAGGCCTCGTGTCTTGGTCTCCATTCCACAAGTCTCTTTGCCCACCGTTCATCCTAGCCACATGTCCTGCCCAATTCCATTCAACATGTAAGGCATATATCACCGCATCTGTTACTCCTATTCGGTTTCCCAACTCCCAACATGGACCTTTTGTTTTTCCGTTCCACAGTATGTACAGGGTGGGTCAAATTGGACGCTTTTGAAGGGAAACACCTTTTTCTATAGGAGATAGACGAAAAGTAATATCGGTGTCTGGAGCTCAATTTTTAACAAAAACATGATGGTGAAAACCTCATATCGATATCTGTTACCGCTTCGGAGTTACGGGGTGTTTTTCAAAAATGTGCATTTTTAACAAATCGCTGTAACTTTTTTGCTATGAAAAATTTTGTATTTCTGTGAAAACATTTCCAAAGCACTTTTTTACGCAGAATTTAATGGTTTAAGTATAATTTTTTTAAAATTAATAATTTTAATTGCTGCTCACCGGCTAGATTTTTTTTGCATTACAGCCGGCGCCGTCCAAAGCCTACTTATTCAAAGTGGGCGAATTTTAATAAACTCTATAACTCGAAGAAGAATACAGCAAAATATCAAGTGTGCTATATTTTTGGAAAGGTAATTTTAAATTCTTTTCAATGAGTTAGAAATATACAGAGTGTCCATTTAAAAAATCAAATTTTCTGTTGATAATTCTTAAATTACTAATTTTAAAAAAATTATACTTAAACCATTAAATTCTACGTAAAAAGATGCTTTGGAAATGTTTTCATAAAAATAATAAATTTTCCATAACAAAAAAGTTACAGCGATTTGTTAAAAATGCATATTTTTGAAAAACACCCCGTAACTCCGAAACGGTAAGAGATATCGATGTGCGGTTTTCACCATCATGTTTTTGGCAAAAATTGAGCTCCAGACCACGGCATATAAATATAAATCACACGGCAGGCCGACTCGCTTTGGCGGGAACGCTACGCGCATATCCTTGCGCACGCCGCCATTATGGGTGCCAGCAACAGAAATTAACCAATGTCGTAGTCAGTCGTAGTTTTTGTTATCGACAATGTACATTTACGGAAGCTTTGAGTCAGTAGCGTGCGGCTTAATTTATTTCATTCTTTTCTTGTGCGTTATATTTTGTTTTTGTAGTTTTATTTGTTTTTCTGGACATTTTTAATATAATAGTGGTTTGGTAGTGTATAATATATTATATCACTTATTAATAAAATATTGTTCATACCAATATTTTTAAATTTAATAATTGCGTCAAATACGATTTCCTTCAAATATATTTATATTAAATATATATACACCTGTGCATGTAGTGTGATAAAAAAAAATAAGCTGGGGATTGCTTCTAATTGGTACAGATACCACTTAACCATAACAACATTAGACACCCGAGCTAGTTTAAACTCTCTGTTCCCCTTCTCCTGGTCCTCAAAACCTACAATATTATCACGATCACTATTATAAAATAAGTTGAACTTGATATTCATATCATCAATACATAGAACACAATATCGATTAAGTTCATCCGGTTCATCGAAACTTTCAACTTTGCTTTTTAGAGTCTCAAATACACTAAGATTTTCTAAGCCAGGTTTGATATCGATGTCATATATTCATTTTCTTAGTGTCTCTGGGTCTCTGGGCGATTGAAGGCAAAATAGATTGCGAAATTTGAATATTAACAAAATTTGCTACGTCCATTGATGGACATAATTTGTACGTAGCCTCTTTATATTGTTCAACAGATATTTTATTGGGTATTTCTTTAATTCTTGTTTGTAACTCCTGGCATGTTTTTTAATTTTAATTATCTATTCTCTACAGTTAAATGTTTAATTGATTTTATCATTTTTACTTTTCGAGGAGTATGCGCGGTTCACGATTCGTTTGTTTAGATAAAAGTATTATGTAAATAAAATTCAGTTTCAGTCAATTACGATTACAATTATTTTAATACGACCCTGTCTATCAATAGTTTATTTTCTGGGAAAGTTTTTGATGCGTTTTAATCCGGCCCTGACTCGGCACCCATAATGGTGTTTTCAAGGTCAAATTTTATAGAAATTTTAAACAATGGAATCTGGGCAGAGTTAGCCTACCGTGTGATTTATATGCCGTGTCCAGACACCGATATTAATTTTCGTCTATCTCTTATAGAAAAGGGTGATTCCCTTTAAAAGCGTCCAATTTGGCCCACCCTGTACTTTCAGTAAAATTTTGTGTCTAGCCCCCCCCCTCCTTCCCGAATCGTGGACCGCCCCTGTATAATTTCAACTAAACTTTTTCTTTTTTAGGTTTGAAATGATCGTTTTCATCATAGTTTTGACTACTGAATTGTTTTTACAATTTGTGGCAGGTTTACCATGTGTAAGATTGGTAACAAAAAGTCATTATAGTGAACCTTATTGTGGCCACTACCATTGTTATGAAAAAGATTTAGTCGAAGATGAAATTAATTTATACTGTGATGAAACAAATCTGGATGAAATATATAAAGTTATTTCTAATGAGACTCTTCCGTACAGCCTCACAATTAAAAACACGGTTTTGTCTCAAATGGGTGTAAATCCAACTACCTGGAATAACATATTGGCACTATCTATGGCCAATACGAGCACATTGAAAATTGTTCCTGGATTTTTTAACAAGCTTATAAAATTAGAAACTTTAGAGATAACCAATAACAATTTATGCGGAGTTGTAGATGGCACGTTTAGTCCGCTGACTTCTCTTAAAAACCTAAATTTAAGCAACAACGCCATTACTTCTTTATCAGAACACAGCTTCTCGGGTTTATTTGAATTAAAATCTTTGGATTTGAGCTACAATAATCTTTCGTTCATCGATTCTAAAGCGGTTTCATTAAATTCCAATTTAGCATACATTAATTTAACGCATAATTATTTGGCAAATGTGGAAGTGACGACTTTTCAAAGTATTCCGATAATAGAAATCGATTTATCTTGTAACCGATTAACTAATTTTAGTTTTTCTGACAAAACTATTAGCTATTCTAATGCAACATTCTACAATAGCGTAGAAAATGTTAATCTTAGCGGAAACGTTTTAGAATCCATCGAAGATTATTTTGTTGGACCGGAAGTAGATACAGCTGATTTGAGTAATAACATAATAAAATTACTTGCAAAAAAAGCATTTTTTACCGCATCAAAATTGCGATATTTGTATTTAAACAACAATAAACTTACATCGATACATAGAGCGACGTTTAGTCAACAAATCAATCTAAAATATCTAGATTTATCTTCCAACCCAATTGTTACCATTCCATTCGGATTATTGAATAACCTAAAGTCGTTAGAATATCTAGATTTGTCTAGTAATAACACGCTTCTGGATTTTCATTTTCTATTTTCACTAAAAAAATTAAAAACGTTGAAAATGTCGAACACCAATATTATGAATTTCGATATAACATTGGTCGTAAGTTATTTCAGTGAATTGGAAGAAATATCTTTGAGCGATAACTTGTGGACATGTAGCGAATTGATGCAACATATTTACATTTTTGAAAAAAACAACATTAAAGTTGTTCCGGGAAATCATACAGATTCTCATAGCTTTTTTGGTATTTCTTGCTTGGAGAATGAGAATTCTAAGAATGAAACAATTACTATTAATAGAAACAATATCGGAAACGTTGATAGCTCACAAGATTCACTAGAAAACTTCTTGAACTACGATTTCAAAAATACGTCATTTTATAAGTTTTTCGAAAGTTTTAAAAATTTTAGTAATTCAAACATCGTTCCTGATAAAAATCATATAACTCTAAATATGGAAAAGAACTTCACTAGCTCAAATTTAGTCAATTTATTGCAAAAAATTATAAACGATATTTCTGTTTCCCAAATAGATTCAAATACGTCGACAAATGATAAAAATAAGGATATTTTGGGAACAAAGTTTCCCAAATTTTATTTTCCTATAAATTTTACCTCTGACCTAAACGATCACATTAAAGATAACATGTTGCAGTACCAAAACATAACCTTAAAAGTGTTATCACAGTATTCCAAGCAAAGCTCATTTAATTACGAAAATCTATTTACGAACATTGTGATGGTTTTAATTTTAATATGCATTGTTGTTTACATCTGTTATACATTATTTCGACAAAAGAAAGCAGTAGAGTCAAGAGAAGCAGTACAATTGATATAAGTATATAATTAAATATAGTACAATTCTTTTAAAAGTTCCTCAATATGGCCGACCTAGTTACGAAAATTGGTAATTTTTTTTTAATGAAAAATAAGTTGGCGTTAGCGAATTCAGAAATTGATTTTACTCTTTGGTTAACCATAACATTTTTCAGGAGTTGACGTTAAAGTTAGATTATTAGGTGGTTGTCATAAATCATAAATAAAAACGTAGATTATTGAAATTATTTAATAAGAATAAAGGTATTTTACCGCAGATCCCAAGATATTTTACTTAAAGGTATTTTATGAACTTTCTGAGTGAGAATATTAACTCCCCTGTTTCTTATATTTTAGTTAAAGGGACGTAAGAACTATGGGAAGTGAATTTTTGTTTTCATGTTTTGACGATATCTGAGAGTTCCTAGAATTATCAAGATTATTGAATAATTATAATTGTTTAATAAGTGAAATTAATAGAAAACTTGGAAATAGGAGATGATGCGTTTCACGTTATAGTTGATAGATCACCCCATTTCTCTTAATTTGTTTTTATTTCAGTACAGTTAATCACAAATTGAACTGAAGTGTGCAAAAACAGCTATATATTTTCAAACATCATATTTAAATAGTTCTTTTATATACTGTTAAACTGTATCAACTACAAAGTCTTTAGCAAAAAGTTATAAGGTAATCAATTTTGTAGATATAATTTATGAAAATTTATATATAAAGATTAGAACACAATCCTCTGAGGGAAAAAGAAATGCTCAAAAACTCATTGAATATACTTTATTAAAAATGACAACATACAAAAACAGTAATCCATGCAAACTGTAATAATCAGAACATTATCCACATAATACCTTTATTAAATTTGTGTTCACACTACTGTCAGGAAAGCCAGAAATGTTTGTTTAAGTACTATGTTTAAATATTAACTTATTTTAAATTGCCAGAAACACTTCAGAATATGTCAAACCAAACCACACCACAACTACATATAGATTTGGAATCAGTACTAAATTTTATACCTAGTAAGTGATGCGTCAACTAACAAGTATAGGATAAAAAAAATTATTGATATAGAGTGTACTATCCGATGTCCTGCTTATTTATGAAATGACTTTCCTTTCAAATGTGAGGAATACCAGTAAAATAAAACATAATTTTTGGTTTGGTTTGGTGTTTGATATTCTAACTACATCTATTACAAATCTTAAGTGCTTTTAGTAACTGTATTTTTTATTATTTGTGTATCCTGTAAAGTAAAAAAATATATATTAGTAGTATATACTACTAGTAGTATAAAGTAAAAAAATATATATTATTATAGTTTTTATATTTATTTCAAGAAATATAAAAACAATGCAATAGATATCAAACAGATTTACCACAGATTATCAATTTGAACGATTTGAACTACAGTCGATTCCAGTCCAGATATTTTCGTTTTTTAAGCCTCACATACTGAAGTCCGCCATATTGGGAAGTTTTAAATGAATACAAGTATAGCAATAATGAATTATTTTTTATTATAGTAAGATAAATATTATTTTGCGATCAAGTTCATATCGAGTTTATTAATAAACATAAAAATTGAAATATTTTTATTAGAATTTAATCATTATAAACAATTTAAAAAAATCAGTAATACGATTTTATTCATTTATTTTGTCAGAAACGATTAAGGGGAAGCTGCTAATATTGGATTATAAGTATATATTGTTAATATTGTAAAAGGTTGTACTAATAAATCTTATTTGTACGGTTTTGGTTTTATTTAAATATATGCTTTAGGGGTATAGGTGCTTATATACTTTGAGTAATGCTTTGTGTCTAACCTCCCCAGTGGCGGATACAGAGATACCCTAAAATCTAAGAATTGGGTTAAATATTACGCTTTTGGGTAAAAATGACAACGTAAAAAGCTTATTCTACGTTACTTTTTTATTTGGACCCCCCTAAAATAAATTCCTGTATCCGCCCCTGAACCTCCCCCCTTTCCCGAATCCTGGATCCGTCACTGGTTAAAGGTAAAAACTATATTTTAAATTTTATAAGAAAATGAGGGAAGGGTGTTGAAAAATTAATTTGATCTTATACAATTAAAATTAAGGGCAATTAAATTAGAAACAATTATTAGATTTTTTCAACTGTTAAATATACAGGGTGACCCAACTTATATTCGGGAAACTTCGGCAGCATATTCAGCAACAAAAATAAGTAAAAAAGTTCGTAAAAATGTTCTAAAATGCTTAATTTCGGAGATACAGGGTGTAGAAGTTTAATTTTTATTTCGATTTTTTCCAAATAATTTCTGAACTACCCTCAATATTTGGATGAAAATTGGTGTCTGGGAGCTTTTTGAGATGAGAAATTTGATTTTGTTGTCAATATGACTCCTACTTGTTGAGGGAGTAATATTATCGTTTTTAGCAAAACGATAATATTACTAGCCCATTTGTATGCAAAAAGAAAACTATTTAAATCTTTATAAAAGAGTATAGCATTAATTAAATATAACACCATTATTTCCGCCCATATACTAATTAATTACATACTTAATTGTGTTCGTTAATAAATTATTATAAATAAATGTGGATTTGAGTCAGAAATCACTATAATAATAAGTTATCAAATTAAAGTCTCTGTTGTTATAAATAAGCATTTATTAAAAAATGAAATATAATTTTTAAGGTGTTACTTTTTATCACACTGTCTAATGCTAATACAACATTCAGTTTTTTAGTATTTGGAGCAATTATTATTAATCAACGCAAAGAGTCAGTTAATGTAGTTTGAATACTGGAATCATATTAATTGATCCTCTTTAACAAATATTTAAACAGTTTTTTTTTTATTTTTTAATGAAATAAACGAATTATATCGACAATATTAGTATCTGTACTCTTTAAAAATTTGGTACATCCTTAAAAATAATCTAAAATGTCAATAGTCCATAGGTATATTGATAAATAAGTTCTAAATTACAAGAAAATGCATTTTCTACGGAAACTTAAAGAAATAGGTAAAAAATGGTATAATATAATTTGATAGACAATTAAATTGTGCATCTGATTCTCGTAAAATATATAGGGTGTTCCATTTAAATTAAACAAGTTATTGCCGTTTGAAGCTAATAATTATTTAAAATAAATTTTTAGACACTCTGTATAAGGTAGTATTATTTTTATTATTGCAACACAATAACTGATCAGTAAATAAACTTCAGTAAATATTTAGTATTAAAAACTTTGATACCCTCGGAAAAATGAAGCTTTAAAATTTTTACTGCAATTTCACAAAATTGAAAATATTTCAAAAACGGTATGGTTTAAGTATAATAAACCTTAATCAAATTTACCTTTATTTTAATCGTTGAAACTAAAAATGTAATAATATACAGGGTGTTCCATTTAAAAAAATACAACTTTGATATTTTTTACTTATTTGGGACACTCTGCATCTTGTAAAATTATTTTTAAATTGTACCTCTAATAGTCCTTCATCGAACCCAAAACTTACAATTTGTAAAAATCTCATCGTTTAGCTACAATACTCCGTGTCGTATGTGGTGAACAACCCTGTATGTATGAAACTAATGAGTAAAAAAATATACATTTACGGCATTTTCTACGTAAAAAAGGTCTCTACTAGTAGAGATATCTGGATATATCGAAATAATTAACACCTACATGTTACCATTGACATAAATTAGGCATGTTGACTATTAGACTGAAATAATAAATTTGAAATGTTTTTGTGCCAAAGGTGCAACAGAAACGGTTTTCAAATTTATCATTTCGCACAAAAAGTTTAATTTTTGACAATAATGACATACATTGACTATTTCCATTTTAAATATATTGAGAACCGTTGCTCATAGTGATTTTTACCAAGAGACATTTTTTACGTAGAAAATTATGAAAATTAAAAGTAGTTTATCGTAGGTCTTTTTTTTTCCTAGGCATCGATCACCAGGATCATATACAACACGTTATTGTTAACAATAATGCAATTAGGGATCTATCTCAATATCCTCAAGGGATTCAATCTTACAAGGGCAATTAATTCAAATTGAGTGACAAAAGGATAACAAACTAAACACAAAAAAATAGACAACAAAAAACAAACAATAAGAAAAATAGGTAATTATTTACATCACAGTATCACAGTTGGATTTGAGTATCACAGACGAGTATCACAGTTGGTGGTATATATTAATATCTTATAAATTTTATCTATCTCATAAATTTTAAAATATTTTTAATTTTTTCTTCTTCAGTTAAATTATCACGAAATTCACCACGTATATCGAATCTATTTCTTTCTACCGTATATTGAGGACATTCACATATAATGTGAATTACTATCAACTCAACATCACATACTATACACATTGGAGGTATTTCTCTGTTAAGCAGATATGCATGAGTCACCGCAGTATGCCCAATACGAAGACGATTCATCCGCTCGTCTCAGTGCAAGACATAAGAATGGGGTTAACGGATCCTGTTTTATTGCGCAAAGCTTTGAAGGTACTTGCCCACTCATCCTGCCATTCCCTTTCTGTTCTTTTATGCAGTAGAACTTTAAGATCATATTTACTAATATAAAGGAAATCAATGGTATCTCTTCTAGCAGCTTGCTGGGCAGCTTCTGCATAATATGTCTTGGCGTTATCTATAAAGCTTGACCAATACACAGAATATCTATCTACGCGAATATCTTGCGTAGCTAGATATTCTGTGCCAATACACACATTAAATAATTGAAATTTAATTTCATTATTTTTATACATTTACTGAGAATTTTAATTTATTATAGGAGATCTCAGTGACTTTTTTAAATAAAAAGGTATTACAATATTTTGAAGGGATGCGACGCATCACCCGCATCAATGGAAGCTCCGCCACTAAACCCTACAAATATTTACTGAAATGTAAACTTGCAAATGATATATCTATTCGAAATAAAAAAAGTGTGTCAAATTTAACAATTTACTAAGCATGAAATAACCATTTGTGGTTTACGATGAACTTTTTCAGTTGTGAATGTTAAAATGTCATTGAATATTTAATTTCTGATTTGTTTAAGGTGAATGAATCAAATAGGCGAAAAATGAATCAGCAGAA